AAAAAAAAAAAAAAAAAAAAAAAAAAAGCTAGTAAGAGTCAAGAATTTTTAAACTGCTAAAGCTGAGGAAAATGTTTTTGATAATTGGGATACCACAGAAAAATTACTTGAAAGACAAACTGGGTTTTAAATTTACATTAATTTTTGAGGTGTTGGCTTTGTTGTTGTTGGGGGTTAGGGGCTGACTCAGGCTGCCTTAAGGGAAGGGTCTGGTGTGGCATGTGGAGCTGGGGAATCGAACTGTGGTCCCCTGTGCCTGACTGAGTTTACCCAAGCAGGCACTTTAAACAACTGAGCTAACCCGCAAGTCCCCTTTTTTGGTCTTTTTGAGACAGGAGCTCACTGTGCAGTTCAGGCTGGCCTTGAACTTACTCTGTAGCTCCGCTTGGCCTCAGACTTACAGTGATCACCTTGCCACAGCATTCCAAATGCTGGGATCGAAAGCGTGCACTACCATGCCCAGCCTCAGGGAGATTTTTATCAGAATTGTATTAAACGGTTTTTATGTTGCAATTTATACTAAGGTACACCCTGCATAGTATATGTATAACAGAATATTGTATACTCTCATGTAATGTTTAAATATCCCTCTGGAATAATCACTATGATATTCATTTTAGACAGAAAAACTGATTAAAGTGTTCAATGATTTGCTCATTAGCCACTTGGGAAATAAGTGATGTTGCTAGTTGTCCAGTAGGGGGAGCATTTGCTATACTTCAGCATGTACTGTCTTCTTTTTTAAACATTTATTTAGTGTGGGGTGTGTGTGTGTGTGTGTGTGTGTGTGTGTGTGTGTCCAGCTCAGCCCACCAGGGGGCGGGGCTGGCTGGTATGTGGTGCTGAGGGATTGAACCGCGGTCCCTGTGCTCTGCCAAGTTTGTTCCAAGTAGGTGCTTTAGACCACTGAGCCATCACGCCAGCCCAGCATGTACTGTCTTCTAAACTAATCTGACAATTTTGTTCTGTATGCTAAAGTTTTTGAGAAAACAAATTAAAACAAGACAGTTATTCAACCTGAGATGGAAATGTTGGCACTTTCGAGTGATAGAGTCAAAGGGAGAGACTTGTTATATTTTGTTTTAAACACGTCCCACCTTTCTTGCTATTCCTTCAGTCCAGACAGTAGCTCTGGGTATAAGAAAATATGTTTCCAAGAGGAACAGTGGAGCAGGGCGGGGTGGGGCAACCTGATGGAGATTTTATTTATAAATGAAGAAGCTAAATATAGAATTGTATGGAAGATTAAAAAGAACATAGAGAAGATGGAAATTGGAGTGTGTGTGTAGTGGGGAGGGTTCTTACTCCTGTGAATATTGACACAAATAGACCTCACGAATTTGGCTCAAAAAGGTTTTTTTGAAAATATGAAAGCAGGATGGGGAGATAGCTTGGTGGTCTAAGCTGGCAAGAACAAGGATCCAGGTTTGATCCCTAGTACCATATGCTATGCCGACCCTGGATCCCCAGTGCTAGAGAGGCTGAGATGGGAGGATCACTGAGTTGGAGCTGTGTAGTGAAACCCTCTACCAAATAAATAATTTAGAACAAAATGATAACAATGTAAAAAACTAAAAATAGGGCCGGTGAGATAGCTTAGCAGTGTAAAGCGCCTGCTTAGGCAAGCTTAGGCAGGTGCAGGGGACTGTGTTTCAATCCCTGGCACCAATCTCTGCCCTCAGGGCAGGCTGAGCCATCCAAAAAAATAAAAATAAAGAAGAAAGAAGAAATAATTTTTTAAAATATAAAGCAATTTAGGATGGCAATATGGTTCCATGTTATTGCTCACAAGAATTATTGTTTTTACTAAAATATTTTAGAGAAGCGTTATAAAAGAAACCAACATGCCTTCCCGCTATAAAAAGGAATTCTTAAAGCTAGAGGAAGTTGGCGTTGGGAAATTTGGTACCGTCCACAAGTGCATTAAGAGGCTGGACGGATGTGTTTATGCCGTAAAGCGCTGCACAAAACCGCTGCAATCTTCATCAAACGAGTGAGTAACTTTGGGTGTACGATAAGCAGGACTTGAATTCAGAGCACTGTTTCTTATCACAATAGCTTAAGAGCACTGATAGCACTAAAAAATGCCATCTGATGCTTTTTCATTGTTTTTAAAAATCATTCCCCTCTTGTGTGTCATCTCATTCATAACCTTTTTGAGTTTTCAGAACAGTGATAGGATAGAATAGGAATAGAATATGATAATTACAGATTGCATTTTTTTTTTTTTGTGGATTGCTTGGCTTTTACTTTCTACTACTGGGGTCTCTCCCTCTCCCTCCTTGTTGAGACAGGGTCTAGCTGTGCAATTCAGGCTGTCCTTGAACACACTTTGTAGCCCAGGTTGGTCTTTTTTCTTTTTTGAATTAATTTTTTATGTATTTAGTACAGGGTCTATAGGATTTCAGTACACAGTTCAGACTTGTAGTGATGCTCCTGTTTTTAGCCTCCCAAGCACTGGGATTACAGGTGTGCACTACCATGCCCAGTCTTGATCAATGTCTCAGTGTGCCCTGGGGGCAAGGCCAGTAGGCAAGCTGGGAATCCTGGCCCTTGTGGTCTGCCTAGTCTGCTGAGCTATTTAGCTGGCCCTCCCAGTCTGGTCTTGAACTCACAATGATCCTCCTGTCTCAGCCTCCTGAGTGCTCAGATCACAGGTGTGCACCACCACACCCTGCATGGTCTTTTTTAAAAATAGGTTTATGGGATGACCTGGTATTTGTTCAGTTCACCAAAAATTATTGCCAAGTAGCAAGTTATTGTTAATTTACTGATTTTTTTAATACTCTGTATTAGTGATGAGTTCAGTCATTTCAGCAAATATATGCAAAGGAAGCTATTGACAGAAGTTTATCTTTTATTTCCAGAAGAAATGGTCCAAAATTTTTTCCCTTGATCTCAAGAAAGACAAATTTTCAGATTCAGCCAATGCTTTGTACAGAGTCTGTGGGCATGGTACCATGCTGGATCCCAAATCACAGGCTTTAGAATTCTTCAACAGTGAAATTGAGTGATTGCCTTGTTTTGCTTGTGAGGCTTTCCTTCCACATGAGTGTCTTTCCTTGAGGCTGTTCCTGCTTCCCTCTCTCATTGGCTGTGTTTAACACTCATGCTAACGATTGGCCTTTCTAGAGGAGATGGCAAGGGATGGCGAGGCCTCGCAGCATGGTAGTCAAGCCAAGTGTTGGGTGGTCCCCTCAGTACACCCACTAAGGTTTTTATATTGTAATTCAGTGAAATGAAGCACAAGTCTCTTCTAATGAAGACAACAAACAAACAAATCACATGTGTTCAGTAGAAGACAATGATCTTTGGAATCAGGCTGCTCTAAGATCAACCATTCCTAGTGTGGCTTTGGGTCATTAACCAGTCACTTTCTGAAGACTTCATCCTATCTGTTCTATCTTACCAAGCAGATATAAATATTAAATGTGATATGAAGTATAACATGATGAATGTTTAAACAAGATTTATTACAGTACAAGGCACATAGTAATTCCCTTCAAAATAGTCCCCCTACTTTCAAACACACTTGTCCCACTGTTCTTGCCTTTGTTTCTATTTCCTTCCATTTTTATTCATTTATTAGTCATGCCTGTGATATGCAATGACCATATTACTTGTGGCGAGTTGGTATACTCCCAAACATAACCCAGTTCTCTTTTTATTCCCTTCCACTCCCTCCTCCCTCCTCCCTCCCTGAATCTCTAAGTCTCCCACACACCCCAATTTGGGAAAGAACCATCTATTTTCCACTATCCACATTATCCAGCTATTTTTCTCCTTATTTATGTTTTGGGTTTTTCATACATCATACCCAAACTTGTGTGTTTCATCCTTTTTTTATCCAATACTATTGTTTCAAGGGGCGTCCATTTTTCTACAAGTGACTCAAGTTTATCCTTCTTTATAACACACTTGTACTCCATTATACATAAATACCACCTTTTTTATTCTTCTATTCATAGACATGAAGGCTATTTCCAAGATTTAGCTATTGTAGATTGTGCTGCTAAAAACATGGGTATATGGGACAGGGAGATAGCTCAGTGGCAAAAATGACTGCCTGGCAAGTGCAAGCTTCTGAGTTTGATCCCTGGTACCAATAAATAAATAAATAAATGGGTATATATGTATCATTGTAATAGACCCCTAATTCTTTGAGGGAAGGTACCTTGAATGAGAATATTTTGGGTTGAATGGAATTTCTACTTTTAGATTTTTGAGGAACCTTTATACTGAGTTCCAAAATGGTAGTACTAGTTCTTTCTGGTAGCAGGGATCAAACTCGGGACCTTTGCTTGCCAGGCAGGCACTTGTGCCACTGAGCTATATCTCCAGCCATTTTCTTAATGATCGTCATTCTTTCCCAATGTTGTTTTCACTCACATTCCTCCAGTGGGCAAAGACGTTGAATGTTTTCTCATGTATTTATTGGCCATTTATATTTATTCTGAGCAGTATCTGCTCATGTCAGTTGCGCTTCTCTTGATTGGGTCCTTTCCTGTGGATGGGGCTAATTTCTTTAAGTTCTTTATATACACTAGATATTAGTCCTCTATTCAAGGAGTAGCTGGCAAGAATTGCTGAGCAGAAGTTGTTCAATTTATTATAATCCCACTTGGTTCTTGGTACCGTTTCTTGTGTGATTGGGGTTCTGTTCAGAAAGTCCTCACCTTCATGTACATCAGGAGAACCTCGGGCAGGCCAGATAGTTCAGTGAACTAAAGTGCCTGTTTCGGCAGAGTGCAATGCCCGGGGTTCGATCCTCAACGTGCTGTGCCAGCCCTACCGCCAGAGCACACTGAGACGAGACAGACTGGGTGTGGTGGTATGCACCTGTAATCCCAGCACTTGGCAGGCTGAAAACAGCAAGGTAACTACGAGTCTGATCTGTGTAGTGAGACCCTGTAGACCCTGAACTAAATGCACATTAAAAAGATCAACCATGTTATCTTTTAGCAGATTAAATGCTCCTGTTTTACATATAGATCTTTAATCCATTTTGACCTTAGTTTAGTACATGGAGAGAGGAGATGTGAATGTAGATTCAGTCTTCTCCATGTGGACAGCACCATTTATTAGAGGCTGTCTTTTTTCCTGCATATGTTTTTAGTCCCATCATCAAGGATTGGGCAGCTGAATGCGCTGGGAGTTGTTTCTGTATCTTCTGTTTTGTTCTGTTGCGCTACGGCTGTTTTTGCAATATGGTGCTGGATTATTTTATTATATAGCTTTGTAGTGTAACTTGAAGTCTGGGATTACAATATTTCCCAAGGGGCCAGGGAGATGGTTCAGTGGAATTAGTGCTTGCCTGACAAGCACAGGGGCTGAGTTCAATCCCCGGTTCCACAAAAACAAGAACAAAAAACTTCCCGTTTTGTTCTTATTCCCTAGGATTTCTTCTGCAACTCTTGGTTTCTAGAACTACTTCAGAAAGTGTCAAAGATGATGGGATAAATGTTCAAAATGAACATATTTGGGGGTAGTATTATGAAGGAATTAATGACAATGTTTTTTATTGTACATTTGAAAAATGTAAATAATCTCTGTATTTTTTATCATACCTTATAAAGTAGTAAGCATGTGACAAGCATCCAATAAATGTTCTACCATTTTTTAAAAAAAAATGTGTTTCATACAGGGTCTATGGGGTCTCACTACACAGATTAGACTTGAAGTGATCCTCCTGTTTTCAGCTTCCCAAACTCTGGGATTACAGGCTTGTGCAACCATGCCCAGTTTCAATCACTGTCCCAGCATGCTCTGGGGTGGGGCTGGCACTGCAGGCTAGGGATTGAACCCCTGGCCCCTGCATCTGCCTAAACAGGCACTTTAATCTGCTGAGTTATCTGAGCGGCCCTTCCTATTGTTTATTTTTTATTTTCTTTTAATTTTTGAGACAATCTTGAACTCACCATGTAGCCTTGGCTAGCTTTTTTTTTTTTTTGCGGGTGTTGGGGAGGGTGGCTCAGCCGGCCCTGAGGGCGTGGCTGGCGTGGCATGTGGTGCCAGGGATCGCACAGTGGTCCCCTGTGGCTGCCTAAGCTTGCCTAACCAGGAGCTTTAGACCACTGAGCTGTCTCGCTGGCCCCCAACCCTGGCTGGCTTTGAATTTAGGGATATCCTCCTGCCTCAGCCTCCTGAGTGTTGGGATTAGAGGAGTGCACCATCACACTTGGGTTTTGCTCTGCCATTTTTAATGCCTCGTATCGTAAAAAAAAACTTTTAAATGTATACCATCTTGATTGATTTTGATGTTTTCCTGTCTCTTAGAGATGCGTATTTACGTGAAGTTCATGCTTACGCAGTGCTTGGGCATCATCCCCATGTGATAGGCTACTACTCCTCCTGGTCAGAAGACAACTACCTGATCATTCAAACTGAATACTGCAATGGTGAGTGTGTGCCCTCGTCTCTGCCGAGAGGGAGATTACTTCGTACATCTTTGGAAATAAACTTGGCCTCCTCGGCCGAGCACAGTTAGGTTGTGCCTAGTGTCCGTATCACAGTCTTGCTTGGAAACAGAGAGTCTGAGGACATGGTTTAGTTGCAAAGGAATTGCCAGGAGCATGCACATTTCCTTCAGAGCTGGTGCATGGAAGTCACCATTCTCTTTGCATGTTAACACAACCAGGGAGCTTTGGCCCTAGTTCTTGAAATGGTAAATAATCATCCTACCATTAGCGAGGTATCCTGCAAGCAAGGTGATGTCATTGTGCAGTTTCAGGTACAGGGACAACTTTTGAGTAATAGCCAAGGGGACTCCTCAGTTGAGGGGGTTGCTCATCCTCCTCCCTGAGTCTTACCTTTGAATTTTAGTGCTCACCCCCAGGGAAAGTCATGGGGTGAAGTACAGGGACAAAACTCAGTGACTTGGGGGCTGGTGAGGTGGCTCAGTGGTCTAAAGCACCTACTTAGAACAAGCTTAGCAAAGCACAGGGACCACGGTTCAATCCCCCAGCACCACATGCCAGCCAGCCCCGCCCCCTGGTGGGCTGAGCTGGACACACACACACACACACACACACACTAAATAAATAAATAAATAAAATAAAATAAAATAAAATAAAAACTCAGTGACTTCAGATGTATTCTCGTAGGTCCCTAGGACCCCATAGTAACTGGTGACATTTGAGCGGGCTACTTAAATCACAGTAGTACTTTGGTTTAACATAGTTCTAATCTAGGATTAAGAGGCTGTGGTAATAGCAGGTATGCGTTGTTAGCCTTGGAGAGGTATTTTTTTTTTTTTCATTCAAATGTTCAGTAGGAACATTTTGTTAAATCAACCTTGGTAGCTGGGGAGATGGCTTAGTAGAATAAGCACTTCCCTGGCAGGCACAAGGGCCTGAGTTCAATCCCCAGTTCCACAAAATAAATAAATAAAAATAAACAGACTTTGGGTTAACAGCAAAGTAAACACGAGATGGCCCTGCATACTTATGTCCAGTCCGGCTTCGGAGTGTTAGAGTTCCCCCATTATATAATAAGTGAACAGGTGATTGAGTTGATGATAAGGAAAAATGGTACACAGGTCCTGCAAGATAATGTCCCCTACAGAGCCCTAAACCAACCCCATGTGCTCCCCGTCTCCCCCCTCCCCCCCCCTTGCCAAGCTCCACTCCAGGTCATTCCTGGGACATCCTCAGCAGTTTAAAGAGTGTCTAGGAGTAAACTGATTTCTACAAACCCTACGACTCTAATTGATTCTGATTCAGGATTAGACTCCTAATCTCTCTTTAAAGGCAAGATAGAATGAAGATTGCAACAATACCAATTTATGAACCAAATAGCTCTGTTGCATACTTGATCTTTTCATGTTTCAGAGTTGAATTTCTTTTGGAGGGGCTGGCTCAGCTCCCTTGAAGACGGAGCTTGCACAGCATGTGGTGCTGGGGATTGAACCTCCGTCCCCTGTGTATGCCTAAGCTTGTTTAAGCAGGAGCTTTAATTGAACTATCTCACCAGCCCTCCTTTTTATGTTATTGTTGGGAAGTAATTTGCTTTTTGGAGACATGATCTTGCTATGTAGTCCAGGCTGACCTCGTCCTCACTATGTAGCCCAGGCTAGTTTCATCCTTTGTTCTGTTTTGATGTTAGGCTCTATCAGCAGAGAGAAAAACATAAATGCCTATAAAGGGTTGAAAACACCCCAACTTCTTTCTGCCAATAAAGTATCTTTGTTTTGTTTATTATTATTATTATTATTATTATTATTATTATTATTATTATTAGTGTGTGTGTGCGCGCGTGTGTGCGCACACACGTGCACTTGTCTTTTTGAGACAGAGTCTTCCCTAAGCAGTACAGGCTGGCCTTGAGCTCCTTTGTAGCCCAGGCCCGTCTCAAATTCACAATGATCCTCCTGAGTGCTGGGATTACAGGTGTGCACCACCATGCCCAGCCCCATTATCTTACTTCAAGCAGGAAACTGTCCATCTCACAGAGATGGCCTGAGAAGAACTCTCCAGAGGCTGGGGATTCCTTCTAGGACACAGTGCTTGCAGGTACACAGGTCACCACCCAGAGCTCCTCTGGGGTGTGGTGAGAAGTGTCAGTGTAAATTGATTCAGAATCACCATGCCTATTAACACTTCCTTGCTAAAATTATTTAATAAAAGACAATTAATGGTCATCTTTAACAATAACAGAGATGAATACTTTAAGTAACTTCTAATTATTGTTGTTACTTAGCTAACATTATTTTTAAAAAAATGTATTTGGTACAGGGTCTCACTACACAGCTTGGACTCATAGTGATCCTCCTGTTTTCAGCCTCTCCAGCACTAAGATTATAGGCATGCACTGCCTGGACTCAATTGCTCAGCACAACCAGGAGTGGGGCTGGTGTGGCATGGGATAGGGGGATTGAACCCCTGTCCCTACGCTTGCCTAAGCAGGTGCTTAGTCTGCTGAGCTATCTCTCCAGCCCTTGCTTTCTCTACTTTTCTTTTTTTTGTGTTGCCAGCACGAACATTCAAGACAGGAAATATTTATTATGAGCCAGGTCTTGGGAGAGGAGGTGTGAAGCAGTGAGGTCCCTTCAGGATCACCTGGGCTAGCAGGGAAATGAGGGTTTATTGGACGCAGCATTCTTCTTGGTTGACACTGCCTAAACTCACCTACAGACTTATTTATTCTTGTCTTTTTGAGACAGGGTGTAACTATGCAGTTCAGGCTGGCCTTGCACTCATTTTGTAGCCCAGGCTGCATCCTCTTGCCTTACACTCCTGAGTTCTGGGATTACAGGCATGTGCCACCATGCCTGGCAAAACTTAATCTCAAAGGGATTAGTTTCATTTTTAGCAATCCAGCCAGGCATGATGGTGTACTCCTGTAATCCCAGCATCTGGGAGACTGTGGCAAGTGGATGATCATGAGCTCCAAGCGAGCCTGGGCTACAGAATGAGGTCCTATTTCCAAAACAAAAGAAAAGCAAACCCAACCCAATGAATATACATTTTGAACAAGACTCCCCAAAATCTATTTAATCATTTATAGTATGTAAATTCTTTACTTAGAAGATTCTTAGAAAACCAGAACTCTTCATTGTAGGGCTGTAGGTTTCTGAAAGGTCCAGAATAATTTTTTCCTTTTTAAACAATTTATGCATTTGGTACAGGGTCTCGTTACACAGCTCAGACTTGTAGTGATCCTCTTGTTTCAGCCTCCCAAGTGCTGAGATTACAGGTATGTGTCACCATGCCCACTTTTGGTGGCCATCTTGGTTCGTCCAGGGTGGTATGAGGGCTTGAACCCGAGTCCTTGCACCTTGTGCTTGTTAGGTAGGAGCTTAGACCACTGGGCTATCTCCCCAGCCTGGGAATAATTTTTTCTGAGCTTAATTATTTTAGCATGAAAGCTCAGTCTTTAAATTGAGTTTTACAAAGTATCATTTTAATTTTTAAGAATCTTTTATTTATTTAGTACAGGGTCTCGATACACAGCTCGGACTTATAGTGATCTTCCTGTCTCAGCCCTTCCAGACCTGGGATTACAGGCATGCACCATCATGACTGGCTTCAGGGCCTGGCACAGTACACTTGGACTTCCAGGGCTGGCATGGCATGTGGCATCAGAGATTGAACCCAGGTCTTTGCTTGCCGGGCAGGTGCTGAGACTGCTGAGCTATCTCCCTAGCCCACAAAGGATAATTTTAGATACAGATTTGCTTGGAAGTTTTATTACCATTTCAGAAACTATTATTCTATTTCTTTTTCTTTTCTCTTCTTTTTGAGACAGGATCTCTCTGTGTAGTTATTTATGTCACATGTTCCAGTCATCTCTGAACTCACTATGTAGCCCAACCTGGCTTTAAACTTGTGGCCATCCTCCTGCCTCAGCCTCCCAAGTCCTGGAATTTCAGGCTTGTGCCACCACAACCAGTTCTGATACATACATGATGTGTACTTAGAAGTTTTGTAACTAGCAGAGGGATCCAAGACACTGTAATTTGAAGAACCTGTCCATGGGTGCTAATAGTGTTTGGAAGCATTCTAATACTTTAGGATAGGTGGCCAAAAGCAGGTAGTGTGTAAATCCAGGATTTATATTTTAATTGACAACAAGGATAATATCTACAGCTGATGTACAAATACTGTGGGTGAAACAGGACTCAAGTGTATCATAAGCTAAAGCTTTTCTT